TGATTTTGTCTTCTCAAGCTGTCCTTTCAAATCTTCTGTTCAGCTCATTTATCTTGTCATTTCTTCCATTTGCTTTAGCTACTCTCCATTCAAGGACAAGTTTCAGAGTCTCTCCTGACATCCATTTTGGTCTTTTCTTCCTTTTCTGTCTTTTTAATGACAATTTGCTTTCTTCATGTATGATGTTCTTGATGCTGTCCCACAATTCTTCTGGTTTTCAGTCATTGGTGTTCAATGCATCAAATATATTCTTCAGATAGTCTCTAAAGTCAGATAGGATATAATCAAGGTCATATTTTGGCTCTTGTGGATTTGCCTTAATTGTCTTCAGCTTCAACTTGAATTTGAATATGAGCAATTGATGGTCTGTTCCACAGTCAGCTCCTGGCCTTGCTTTGGCTGAAGATATTGAGCTTCTCCATCACCTCTTTCCACGGATGTAGTCTATCTGATTCCCATGTATTCTACCTAGCAAGGTCCACGTATGTAGCTGCCATTTATGTTGTTGGAAAAGGTATTTGCAATGGATAAATTGTTGGTCTTGCAAAATTCTACCATGTGATCTTCAGCATCATTTTTATCACCAAAGCCATATTTTCCAGCTACCAGTGATTCTTCCTTGTTTCCAACTTTTGCATTCCAATCACTAGTAATAAAAAATACATCTTGATTGCATGTTTGGTCAATATCAGACTGCAGAAGTTGATAAAAATCTTCAATTTTCTCATCTTTGGCTTTGGTGGTTGGTGTGTAAAATTTGAATAATAGCAGTATTAACTAGTCTTCCACTAAGTGGGTTCAAACCACCAACCTTTCAATTAGCAGCTGAGCATTTTAACCATTGTGCCATCAAGGCTCCTTAACATACCAATCATCCACATCCACTGCCATTAAGTTGATTCTGACTCATAGAGACCCTCTTTGACAGAGAAGAACAGTCCCATAGGGTTTCAAGGCTATAATCTTTATAGAAGCAAACTGCCATATCTTTTTCCCATGAAGCCACTGGTGGGTTTGAACTGCTGACCTTTTGGTTAATAGCTGAGCACTTTACCACTGTGCCACTAGGAGTACTTGAAGTGAGCACATCCCTGGTAAAAATGTTAATATTCCAGTTAATGCACATTAATGATTCAGTTGCTGACTAGTAAATTGGTAACTCCTGAGGGAAAGACAAGAAAGTCCATCTCCTACAAATATTGTATTAGTCCGTTATTGTAAAAGTTAAGGAAAGGTTTATCTATAGAAGGAAATTTTCTTTGTTGGTTACCAGGGGTGTGAGGGGAGGGGAGGGAA